GACCAGCTCAAAAAGAGCCAGCTGAGCAGGAAGAGCCGCTGTGCTAGGGCATAGAGATGGAGAGCCTACGCTCAGGTTTCCCAGAAATTTTCCGTGTTGGTCATTGTCTTTCATGGCACAGAAACAGAGCTCTATTCCCTAACAGGAATGCAGTTGGGATGGTATCGGTTTAGTATTGGCCCAACTATATCCGATTCTAATTTAGTATTGGGCGGATTGAGGATTTGGGGAAAGGCATGTTCGTTTCCTGGCTGGTTCCATTTCTTCCCAGGGTCTCGGGGGTGTCCAAATTATCCTCACCTTGTGATTTTAAACATCCTGCTGGTATCTTTTTTGGATGACTCTCATCTTGGTTGGCCACGTGCATCTCGTTTCTTTAAGGATGTCCGCCATGCTTTCTGCTTGCTACATGGATCCCCTCACACAGCCACATTTTGGCTTCAGCGTGAGCCAACTGAAGCCAAGCCAGAGCTTCGGCCATGGGGAAGGCCAGTGCTCAGGGAGTCGTGTTTGTACCTATGCGTCAGGGGAGGCTTCAAAAGGGAGCCTACATGGTGTCATATGCCGTATCATATGCCGTGATCTCTTTTATTTTGTGTCAGGAAAGGATGAGTGGGTTAGACTTGACACATATCCTGCCCTCCCATTCACAGCAAATCCGCTTTGGCCGGAGGGCATCCAGTAATGAGCTCCTCAAATATGGACACATGCATGATTTCAACAGCATGCTTTGCCTGCACAGAACACGTCGTGGATTCTCGAACCCGGTGCCAGAAGCGATCACTTGTTAAGCGATCCGGGTCTTCAGGCAAACCATGAATTGTCACAAGCACACTAGATACTGCTTGGGGAATCAAGCATACCATGATTTTTGATGCCTTTGTCAAGATCGCTCGCATCAGCGGAAAATACTCCCATTCCAGGAGTGGGTGTTCAAACCATATCGTATTGAAGAAGGGCAAGTGCCCTGTTTAGATCACACCTCTACGTAAGTTTGACACTGTGTGATGTGTTGTTTTCCTGATGCCCACAGCAGTTCTTTTTTAGGGTAACCCACATTTGTTGTACTTGTTCAATTCGGCCAAGCGAGTCTTTCATTGGCTTTAAAAGCATGACGGCGGCTCGCATGGCTTCCAGCCAGGTTAACGAGTTTGAAGCTTCAGATTTCATGTTTCGTAGCTGCTGTGTTGCAAAGAGGATCATGACTTTCCTCGGTACATGGTTCCTTCACACCATGGCCTTGCCCACTGCAAAGTTGAGAGATGCCAATTGGGGTGACTTCCCAAACATTTGGCAGCTGGCAGATGTTTCGCGGTGCAAGGCAGAGCTCCCGTTGGTTGAGCAAGCTTGCGCGTTCCGCTTCCGTGACACCTGAGAAAGGTGGCTGGCTTTTCACGCATCATACTTTGCGGATCATCGAAGATGTTATTTGTCCTGCTTTTCCAGCCGTTTTAGCATCGTGCGGCAAGACCAGCCGGCTCGGTTGGCCGTTGCCCCCCTTTTGGAATTGGTGTCAGTGTTTTGTTCAAGAAGCCTGGGGAGTCCCTGAAGTTTGTCCGCAAGCCCCAATCTGCTGCGAGGTGAAGAGCGAGCTTCATTCGCTCATGATGCGGGGCGGCTACAGATATGACGCCACGAAGGAGCCGGGCCCACTGGTGGCTTGTGAAGCCCCCAGAATACACACGTTCTGCTTTTGGCCGTCTTCTCCCTCCTTTCGTTGCAACTGGTTTCTTCAACTCCCTGGTTGCGCTCAGAAGCCCCGCGTGGTCGGCTTCATTTTATCTTTATCCCGGGTGGGGATACTGCCTGCAGAATGTAAAGACTCTTTGGGTGCCCCTTTCTGCCATGAACGGCATTGAGTGAAGGGGGTTGAAGCGATGCTTTTTTGTTCAGTTTTACGTGGGCAAAATTGGAATGCGCTTAGTTCGCCTAGGCACAGATATTCGGAACAGTTAGTGAGGACCCCGCCGACCATATACAAAAAAAGCATGTAATATCTTATGGGCATATGATCAGCAAGGGTATTATTATTGGCAAGAGGCGAGCCCTAAGTAAATAGAAAAGATAGACAACATAGTTGTCATAATAGTTTAAAATGGCATTTATGGGATATTCCTTCCAAGACCAGTATATAAATCTAGCCACTTGAACAACTCAATGGAGACATTTAGACCACTCAATCAGAGACATCTAGACAACTCAATGGGAGACAATGAACAGCCTTTGTGCCACCACCCCAGGTCAAGGAATTGAAAGTCATGTCAAGTTGTTTTCACAAAATTGTGCTCAAGGGTTTGCCGTTAAAAGAAGTCAGTATGAAGTTTTGTGTTTTAGACTTGCAGATGACTATGTCATTTGAAGGTGGTTCCGGTGAGACGCCCACCACACCTTGCGGCATTTGGCGCTGGGCATGTGGTTGGCACAAGCATCATGGTCGACCAAGCCTATGCTTCTGACACGTCGGGGTTTAAGGGACTTAGTAGTTCAGCCAAGCACCAAAGCCAGATACGACAAAGCCTTGCTCCCAAAATTGTGAGCTTGGTTCCACCAAGGAAGTAGTCAATGACCAGCCCTGCGATTTTTGTGGGAAGAGGGATAATTTTAGTATGTGGGAGATTTCCTTTGTCCAGCATGCCCAACCATCTCTGCGCCGACACCTTCCCAGGTCATGGCGCTTGCTCAAAGCGTCGCAGCAACACAAGCTGCCTACAAGAGCGCCTCCTTTTGCTTTGCAAACGTTGGAAGTTTTCCTGTGCACCCTTCAGCCCAAAAACCCGATCCTTGCACTGGCCTTGTTAACTTCAAACTAACGCTGATGACAAGTCTGGTCATCCGCCTGGGTCGAACAAAAACGGCTCATCGCAATGCGGGGGCAGATGGTGTCACTGTATCTGGCTCACCGTTCAGCTCACCAAGGCTTGGCTGTTGCAGGCCAAGCCTGACCAACACTTAGTCGGCGTGTCGTCCTTGGAGCCCTACAGCTTCAAACCTTACTCAGTCTGCCGTGGTGGGGCAACCTTTGCCCAACTTGGGAGATGGTCTGCGGGGAACGCGGTTCGGGTGTATGTGCAGTACTCCTTGGCAATTGCCCGCAAATATGCAACGGCTGCTTTCTCCTAAGCAAGTGTGGCAGCCACGCAGCCAAGCAAGCGTCCGCCGTGCTGCCTTGCGTGGTGTGCGGGGGAGAGGGCTGCAAAAGCAAGCGATTGCGCCAGAAACACGAACACACATGTGAAGCGTGCGACGCACGTGCCGTCACCCCAGCCCTCCCCGTGCAGCTCGTGCGCAAACAAGGCTGCGGCTCGCTGCACGGGTGCAGAGGTGGCGCAAGTAGGTTTGTACACCTGCGAAACGTGCGCGCAGACGCTGCGCGCAGAGGTGTCACGTCTACGCACGCTGATGCAAACGTCAAAGCGGCAAGGCTGCAACTGCGGAGAGCCAGTGCACGCGGAACGCTGCTGCATGTTCTCACGGCGGCGCGGCGAAATGCCCTTCCCGGGGTGCGACCGCTCACCAGCGGACAAGAAAGCGGTGACAGCGTTGGAGCGCAGCAACCAACGCGAGACCGAGTGGCTGGGTCGATGCAGCCTTCTGCCAACAGCTGTCGGACACACCTTGCCCAAAAGTTCGCCGGCTTAAAGAGACAGACGGTCGGGAGTTGGGCTCTGAGGTTTTGGCTAAAAGGCAGTTGCATTTCTAGTGTGTGTGTGTGTGCTTGCGTGTGTGTGTGCCCTTTACTGTTCATAAAGTTCCATCAGTATTATATTGTATCGTTTATTCCTAAACATTAATAAAACAGAAGTTAAAGCCTCCGACAATAGAACCTAGAAGTATGAATTCAAACAATCACCATATCCGCAGGCAGACAAGTTACCTTGTAGAAGCATTATTGTTTCAGTATCACAGGGTCCTTATTCAAAATCTAGCGTTGAAGATTTATAGAGACTGTTTTGAACAGATTTGCACCGTATCCCCAACAGCGCAGATTGATCAACCATGGAGACGTTGGGTTGCATCACGCTCAGCAACGAAACTTCTTTTGCGTGTTTGGATGCGACATCGCAAATCATCCCTCGCACCCAAAACTAGTTTTAGAACAACATGCGCGTGATTTGTCTACGAGTTTGCCAATCAGTCAATCAGCGGCAGTCATCTTCTTTCTCAGCTGGTGCATGCAAAGATGATCAAGCCATCAAGTCCTCAAGTTCCCAAGTTTTGAGTCACACACGTATATATTATGCATGAGAATACTTTTCCCCCAACACATGGGGGTGTTTGAAGTTTGTTGAGCGTGAGGTGTTGCAAGCACTTTGTACTTTGGTGCCTCCGCACTGGCAGGGAATTGATTAGCTCGTAGAGCAGCACAGAATAACCCGCTCAGAGCGATCGGCTGCCGGAACGTTGCTTGCAAGGTTCTGGACCATATCATGTGTGTCAACGTTTATGCTTCGCAACCCCAAGGTTAGGCTATTTCCTACTGCTTGACAGAGGGCAGGGTGCCGAACGTTTGAGCGATAGAGGGCCACAGGGTTGCCGCTGGCTCGTGTCTAGCAGCTTCAGGCCTCTACAGTGGGCAGCACGCTTGGCAAATCAACAACAACACGGTCAGCTTTTTGCGAATCAACAACAGGGTCAATCAATCACAACAGCACTTTCATGAATCAGTTGCCGGACTGTTACTTGACCTTCGGCCAGGACAAGTACTTTATGGCCGGAGAGGCAGGCAAATCACTACTTGTGGGGTGGGGCTCGGATGTGAGTCGCACCCAGGGTTGTGGGAAGGCTCGGACTAAATCTCTTGACCGACTGGTCCTAGATTTGTCGGGATAGGAGATGCAGTGAACAGGTGTCATGAACATGGCTCACAAACCCGTGTCGAGCGGCTTTAGACGTGTCTTGGCAGCATAGGTTCAGTTGTAGATGAGGCCAGCACATACGTATTGAACTCCAAAGCTTTGCTGCATTTAGATATTGTACAGTGAGTAAAGGCTGAGTGATTC